CCTGTCCCCCGCAGCTGCCGCCACAGCCCTTGCTCCCTGACGGCTGTCACGGGGCCGAGCCCGGGGCCCAGGTCACCTACTTCCTGTGGCTGCGCATGCGGTCCTGCCCCTGCCAGGCCAAGGCCACGCGAACCCTGCGCCTGGAGAAGCGCAAGATCTTCCTCTCCGGCGGCGCCTACGACGTGGCTGTCCTCTCCCAGACCCGCCTGGGCTGGGGCCCCAATCGGACGTGGCTCATCCCTGCTGTCCCCGCAGTGCCCGCTGCCCACAGAGGTGCCCTCAGGGGGGCAGGGCCTGAGACGGGAGCGGGCGGGTCGAGGCTCATGTGATCGAAGTCCATCGGGCAAGAGCCTAGCGCTCAGGAGGCTGAGGCAGGAGGATCTGAAGTTTGAGTTTAGCCTGAAGTCTAGAGTAAAAAAAAAAAAAAAAAAAAAAAAAAAAAAAAAAAAGACACATAATGCTACAATCCTTCCTTCTGGGCCTTGCTATGTAGACCAGGCTAACCTCAAACTCACGGGAATCCTCCTGCCTCGGCCTCCCGTATGGCAGGCGTGTGCCACCTCGCCTGGCTTCTAGTGGCCTAGCCAGTGCGGGTGGCTGGCATTGCCAGGTGGTGGCACAGGGCGGGGGCTCTGCTGGCGGAGGTGCTGTGGGCCCCAGCTCTGGTGGGGAGGCGGCCGCCCCATGTGGCTCTCCTGTGTCCCCAGACCTCGGGGCCCTGAATGCCAGCGTGGGAGCCGGCGGCTCTACAGTGCGCTGGACAGTGAGGGCCCCAGGAGGGACCCACTGCGTGGAGTGGCAGCCGCTGGGCGGGGACGTGGCCCCCAACTGCACAGTGCTGCCACCCCGGGAGCCGGGCCCAGCGGGATCAGGTAGGTGGGTGAGGCGCAGACCCTGCTCTGTCCTGCATCACGGGGCCTCCGGGGCACCAGGCGGAGCTGTCACCTTGTCCCAGGCCACGCCGAGGACAGCGGGGGCCCGGGTGACACGTCCCACATCCTTGTGTTAGCAAGCGCTCACCCGCCCGGGCAGGCGGTGCTCAGCAAGGTGCTGGGACTCTGTAATGAGGCCTGGGACCGGCGTGCTGGTGAGGCCCACACAATTGCTGCCCTCTTGCTTCCTGAACTGGGCTTGGCCCGAGACCCAAAGTCACAGCTTCCAGCTGGACTGGGTGGAGCCTCCAGCCTGAAAGAATACAGCTGTCGACAGACAACCCTGCCCCAAGGAGCAGATGAGGACACACCTAGGGAATGCATAGGAAAGTGATCCTCTAGGGAGGGGCATTGACACAAGGACTTTGAAGTATGAATAGGAGTTTTCTAGGTTATTTCTATCAGATGGTGAAGGTGGCACAAAGGTCTAGAGGTCAGAACTCAGTCTAGTAGGTGTGTGAGCCTTTGTCTGTCCTCTTAGTGACTCACAGCTGGAGTCCAGCCCTGGGGGTGACAAGACAGGACCAATGTTACCAAGTCACCATCTTCTCCTCTGTGCGCCCGGAGAAGGCCACGGCGTGGTCGACCGTGTTGTCCACCTACTACTTCTGGGGCAACGGTGAGTGGCCCCAAGCATTGGGAAAAGGCACCAGGCTCTGGCTGGAAGACATCGGCTCCCAGTGGAGGCCAAAGACCTCACGAGTGGACATCGCCCACTTTACAGATGGGGAAACTGAGGCCCAGCGTCGGGAGCACCAACAGGAGGGGCACACGGGAGGCTCTGCTGCCGTGCAGGGTGGTGACGAGGACTTTGTGCCATTGCAGCATCGGTGGCCGGGACCCCGCTGCGCGTGTCGGTGAGGAGCCACGGGGAGGACTCTGCGGCCGTGGCCTGGTCGCCATCCCTGCTGCAAGGCTGCCCCGGTATCCTGGCGGCCTATGCAGTGGGTTGTGTGGAGGACGGCGGCCGTCAGGCAGGTTCGCTGCCCCTGCCCGGCTTCTGCCTCTCCGCACTTCGAATAAGGGAACGGGGTCGGGTGCGGTGGTGCAGGCCTGTGGTCTCCGCCCTCGGAGGCTGAGGCAGGAGGACTGCAACTTCCCGCCCAGCCTGAGCCTGAGATTCGGCCTCTCTAAATTCAATCCCAGTGCTGAGAAACAAGTCACCCCTCACAGAGTGGCTCGTGGCGCCCAGCGAGACCCAAGTCACCCTCCAGGGACTGCGACCCGGGGTCACGTACACGGTGCAGGTGCGCGCGGACACGGCGTGGCTAAAGGGCAGCTGGAGCCTGTCCCAGAGCTTCAGCCTCGGTGAGCTCCCCTCCCTGGGCTCCTTTCTTCCCAGGGCTCCTCACTGCCCTCGGGAGAAAGTACCAGCTAGATCTGCTCCCACCTCCCCTGGCTACTTGGAAAGAGATTGAGGCAGCTTGCCCAGCTACTTGGAAAATTTGTTTTCTGGTTGTCAAGCTCCTATTCATCCTTCCAAACCCAGATCAAAATCTCCTTCCTCCAGAAAGTCTTCCCTGCCTACTGTTGATCAGCAACAATGGACCAACCGGCATCAGGGTTTGGGGGCCTCTGTCAGGCTCTGCTCCCCCAGCCCAGGGGCTTCTGGGAAGGAGGAGCAGGAGGGAGCAGGGAGCTGTACCCCCAGCGCTCCACTTACCCAGGCTTTCTCACCCCAGCCCCTCAGGTGTCCCGTGTGCCCATCCTGTCCGTGTCCTTGGGTAGCTTTGTGACCATCCTCCTCCTGGGCGTCCTGGGGTACCTCGGACTGAGCAGGTAACGCACGTCTCGCCCACGGTCCCGGACGTGCCCGGTGCATTTCCCAGAGGAAGAAACTGAGGCTGGGAACAAGGGGTTTGCTCAGCAGAGGGGGCAGATGTGAGACCTGAAATCCACATCCCCATACCTGCATAACCCTATGGCGATGAGTCCCAACGTTCAGGAGGCTGAAGCAGGAGGATTGCTGAGAGTCCAAGGCCAGCCTGGGCTGCATAGCGAGACCCTGTCTCAAAAAAACAAAAACAAAATAGAAAAGAACCCAATGGAGATGAAAATAAACAAACAAACAAAAAACCACTCCAGAACAATGAAACAGGAAGAGGAGGCCAACAGACTGCTTCTTTGACCTGTCCTCTTCTCCCCAGGTTTGTGCAGCACCTGTGGCCGCCCCTACCCACACCCTGTGCCAGCACTGCCGTGGCGTTCCCGACCAGCCAAGGGGAGAAGGTAAAGTCTCCCTTTCACCTATCAGCTCTTGTTTTGTTTTGTTTTTGGAGACAGGCCTTGCTCTGTAGCCCAGGCTGGACTTGTACTCTCAGCGCTCCTCCTACCTCAGCCTCCCTGCTTTGGGGAGGGCTGGATCCAGGCATCCTCAACTTATCCGCCTGGGGAACAGGATTTCACCATGGGCCAGCAAAAGTCTCAAGACCGTCGCTGATCAGTCTAGCTTGGGTCACATGCTCGTGAATGACCCGATGGCGGAAACCAAGGGCTATCATGCTGATTGGCTGTGCCCAAGTCATGTGCCCGTTGGGGGGGGCGTGACCAACTGGCCCAGTTATAAAAGGAAGGAAACCAGGGCGCTGTCCTGGGGGGTGAGGGCGGTGCCCTGACGGAAGGACGCCTCCGATTGGGTGGAGCTGCCACAGCCCCGCCCATCCGTGGCCCCGCCCTGCAGTGCCCTTGGAGCGCCCCGGTGGACTTCGCGGACGAGGCGTCCCCTCCGGAGGCGCT